TTTAAGGTCGAATATTTTTAATAAGGTATATATTAGGGAACTCGAGATTCTGACCCTAGCTATCGAATGCGACCATCAGAAATTGGATTGGACGATCGGTGTAGAAAAAATAGGGGGACTCAAAATTTCAATCCGTGATTTGACCTTTAAGGTCAAATATTTTTAATAAGGTATATATTAGGGAATTCGAGATTCTGACCCTAGCTATCGAATGCGACCTTCAGAAATCGGATCGGACGATCGGTGTAGAAAAAAATCGGGGACTCAAAATTTCAATCCGTGATGTGACCTTTAAGGTCGAATATCCGTGATTTGACCTTTAAGGTCAAATATTTTTAATAAGGTATATATTTGGGAACTCGAGATTCTGACCCTAGCTATCGAATGCGACCATCAGAAATCGGATCGGACGATCGGTGTAGAAAAAATTTGGGGACTCAAAATTTCAATCCGTGATTTGACCTTTAAGGTCAAATATTTTTTATAAGGTATATATTAGGGAACTCGAGATTCTGACCCGAGCTATCGAATGCGACCATCAGAAATTGGATCGGACGATCGGTGTAGAAAAAATAGGGGGACTTAAAATTTCAATCCGTGATTTGACCTTTAAGGTCAAATATTTTTAATAAGGTATATATTAGGGAACTTGAGATTCTGACCCTAGCTATCGAATGCGACCATCAGAAATCGGATCGGACGAGCGGTATAGAAAAAATTGGGGGACTCAAAATTTCAATCCGTGAATTGACCTTTAAGGTCAAATATTTTTAATAAGGTATATATTAAGGAACTCGAGATTTTGACACTAGCTATCGAATGCGACCATCAGAAATTGGATCGGACGATCGGTGTAGAAAAAATAGGGGGACTCAAAATTTCAATCCGTGATTTGACCTTTAAGGTCAAATATTTTTGATAAGGTATATATTAGGGAACTCGAGATTTTGACCCTAGCTATCGAATGCGACCATCAGAAATTGGATCGGACGATCGGTGTAGAAAAAATAGGAGGACTCAAAATTTCAATCCGTGATTTGACCTTTAAGGTCAAATATTTTTAATAAGGTATATATTAAGGAACTCGAGATTCTGACCCTAGCTATCGAATGCGACCATCACAAATTGGATCGGACGATCGGTGTAGAAAAAATAGGGGGACTCAAAATTTCAATCCGTGATTTGACCTTTAAGGTCAAATATTTTTAATAAGGTATATATTAGGGAACTCGAGATTCTGACCCTAGCTATCGAATGCGACCTTCAGAAATCGGATCGGAAGATCGGTGTAGAAAAAAATCGGGGGACTCAAAATTTCAATCCGTGATGTGACCTTTAAGGTCGAATATCCGTGATTTGACCTTTAAGGTCAAATATTTTTAATAAGGTATATATTAGGGAACTCGAGATTCTGACCCTAGCTAGCGAATGCGACCATCAGAAATCGGATCGGACGATCGGTGTAGAAAAAATTGGGGGACTCAAAATTTCAATCCGTGATTTGACCTTTAAGGTCAAATATTTTTTATAAGGTATATATAAGGGAACTCGAGATTCTGACCCGAGCTATCGAATGCGACCATCAGAAATTGGATCGGACGATCGGTGTAGAAAAAATAGGGGGACTTAAAATTTCAATCCGTGATTTGACCTTTAAGGTCAAATATTTTTAAGAAGGTATATATATGGGAACTTGAGATTCTGACCCTAGCTATCGAATGCGACCATCAGAAATCGGATCGGACGAGCGGTGTAGAAAAAATTGGGGGACTCAAAATTTCAATCCGTGATTTGACCTTTAAGGTCAAATATTTTTAATAAGGTATATATTAAGAAACTCGAGATTTTGACCCTAGCTATCGAATGCGACCATCAGAAATTGGATCGGACGATTGGTGTAGAAAAAATAGGGGACTCAAAATTTCAATCCGTGATTTGACCTTTAAGGTCAAATATTTTTTATAAGGTATATATTAGGGAACTCGAGATTCTGACCCGAGCTATCGAATGCGACCATCAGAAATTGGATCGGACGATCGGTGTAGAAAAAATAGGGGGACTCAAAATTTCAATCCGTGATTTGACCTTTAAGGTCAAATATTTTTAATAAGGTATATACTAGGGAACTCGAGATTTTGACCCTAGCTATCGAATGCGACCATCAGAAATTGGATCGGACGATCGGTGTAGAAAAAATAGGGGACTCAAAATTTCAATCCGTGATTTGACCTTTAAGGTCAAATATTTTTAATAAGGTATATATAAGGGAACTCGAGATTCTGACCCTAGCTATCGAATGCGACCATCAGAAATTGGATTGGACGATCGGTGTAGAAAAATAGGGGACTCAAAATTTCAATCCGTGATTTGACCTTTACGGTCAAATATTTTTAATAAGGTATATATTAGGGAATTCGAGATTCTGACCCTAGCTATCGAATGCGACCTTCAGAAATCGGATCGGACGATCGGTGTAGAAAAAAATCGGGGACTCAAAATTTCAATCCGTGATGTGACCTTTAAGGTCGAATATCCGTGATTTGACCTTTAAGGTCAAATATTTTTAATAAGGTATATATTTGGGAACTCGAGATTCTGACCCTAGCTATCGAATGCGACCATCAGAAATCGGATCAGACGATCGGTGTAGAAAAAATTGGGGGACTCAAAATTTCAATCCGTGATTTGACCTTTAAGGTCAAATATTTTTTATAAGGTATATATTAGGGAACTCGAGATTCTGACCCGAGCTATCGAATGCGACCATCAGAAATTGGATCGGACGATCGGTGTAGAAAAAATAGGGGACTTAAAATTTCAATCCGTGATTTGACCTTTAAGGTCAAATATTTTTAATAAGGTATATATTAGGGAACTTGAGATTCTGACCCTAGCTATCGAATGCGACCATCAGAAATCGGATCGGACGAGCGGTATAGAAAAATGGGGGACTCAAAATTTCAATCCGTGATTTGACCTTTAAGGTCAAATATTTTTAATAAGGTATATATTAAGGAACTCGAGATTCTGATACTAGCTATCGAATGCGACCATCAGAAATTGGATCGGACGATCGGTGTAGAAAAAATAGGGGGACTCAAAATTTCAATCCGTGATTTGACCTTTAAGGTCAAATATTTTTGATAAGGTATATATTAGGGAACTCGAGATTTTGACCCTAGCTATCGAATGCGACCATCAGAAATTGGATCGGACGATCGGTGTAGAAAAAATAGGAGGACTCAAAATTTCAATCCGTGATTTGACCTTTAAGGTCAAATATTTTTAATAAGGTATGTATTAAGGAACTCGAGATTCTGACCCTAGCTATCGAATGCGACCATCAGAAATTGGATCGGACGATCGGTGTAGAAAAAATAGGGGGACTCAAAATTTCAATCCGTGATTTGACCTTTAAGGTCAAATATTTTTAATAAGGTATATATTAGGGAACTCGAGATTTTGACCCTAGCTATCGAATGCGACCATCAGAAATTGGATCGGACGATCGGTGTAGAAAAAATAGGGGACTCAAAATTTCAATCCGTGATTTGACCTTTAAGGTCAAATACTTTTAATAAGGTATATATTAGGGTATTGGAGATTCTGACCCTAGCTTTCTAATGCGACCTTCAGAAATCGGATCGGACGATCGGTGTAGGAAAAATCGGGGACTCAATTTCAATCCGTGATTTGACCTTGAAGATGACCTTGAAATTTGAACTGAATACGATATTCGGAATCAGCGTCCCAAACTGCATCGGATAGGTTGGGTTTAGTTGAAATTCGGACTCGACGCTGAATCCGTCGCGGAATACGACGCTAACTTCACGGACGTGATTGCTAAGAGCAATAGCATGTACAAAATGTATATCTCAGAATTTTGATATCGATGACCTAAGGTCAGGTCAATTTTGCGACCTCCCCATTATAAGTCAATGGGAGAAAATTGAAATGCGCCTCTTTTGGACGAAAGACATTATAAACACTCCCAAACACCGAATTACAAGTGGTTTAGACACACTGAACATGAAAATGGTGTCTGTGACCCTTGTTTATGCCCTGAGGTCATCTTAGGTCACGAATGGTATCTAACAGTTTTTCGCAAATAACTTTTGATAGAGGCATGCTAGAGCGATGAAAACGCCTTAGATGTGTTCAGCTAGACGATACGGATCGACTGATATGCAACATGACCCTTTCCGGTCAGGTCATGACCTTGACCTGAGGTCAAATTTTCAAGTTGACCTTTCAAGGTCAAGTTATAGTTCATTCGATGCGTCTTGACGAGAGGAACACGATGCTGGTAAAAGTAAGCTCGTACAAGGTGTGACCGCCTGTGCTTTTTGCAGCAGTTCGCTTGTTGCCTCAAAGTGGGCTCGTAGCAGGTGTCTCACTCGCCGGGCCCCTCTTAGAGGCGATATCTCGGTACTCATGTATTATGCCGGGTTGACACAACACACGGTTCCTAAAATGAAAAATCACACAGTCAGGTCCCATACAGCACTTGAGGACTTACTATTCGCCTCCTCGCCTGGCGCCGTGCCAAAACGATTTCGATCATTCAACTAGGTAAACGAAAGCGACAAAACAATAAAAATACCGAGAAGCAGAATAACAAATTAAATTGAACTAAACCAGCCTAAATAACCGAAAATAAACATCTTACCGAATTATATCGCTTTTACCACTGCAGACACAGGCCGGCCGCCTTCTACACAGACTCGGCGGGGCAAAAACTAAACGTCTCAAAACATACATGAGGAGAGCCCACGCTGGAGGTTGCGGCCGGTAAATAAAAGGAATAAAGGACAGAAATACATCTTCGCGCTTACATGGCTCCCCGACGGGGAATCGAACCCCGGTCTCCCGCGTGACAGGCGGGGATACTCACCACTATACAAGCATTGTGTTGCTATACAAGCATCATCAAGGCCAACTCAGCAGTCCGAGCGGTGTTGTCAAGATGTACCAGCTGCAGAAGAAGACAGGCACCGGTCGGGAGTCAAGTGATGTCAGACTTGCCGCCTGAAAGAGTCACACCGGATGAGCCTCCTTTCACCAAGGTTGGATGTGATTACTTTGGCCCGTTCTTTGTGAAGAGTGGTAGAAGGCAGAGCAAGAGATACGGTGTACTCTTTACCTGCTTGGCCACTCGTGGGGTTCACATAGAAGTGGCAAACAGTCTTGATACAAGCTCGTTCATCAATGCACTACGGCGCTTTCAAGCCAGGCGGGGTCAAGTTCAATACATCCGTTCCGACAATGGAACAAACTTTGTAGGGGCGGAACATGAACTGCGCGAAGCTGTGTCCAACCTGAACAGTGAAGAGGTGCATAACTTCTTACTTCAGAAGGGCATCACTTGGATCTTCAATGCGCCAGGAGCATCGAGCCACGGAGGCGTCTGGGAACGTCAAGTTCGAACCATCAGGAAGGTTCTGGAAGCCTTGCTTCAGGAGCAGACAATGGACGATGAAGCAGTTCACACACTCATGTGTGAAGTCGAAAACGTCATCAACAGCCGTCCGCTCACCCCCGTTTCCAGTGACCCTGCAGACCTGGAACCGATTACGCCAAATCACCTGTTGTTGCTCCGGGGCGGCGCTGTTCCACCCGGCATCTTTGTGAGGTCAGACAGCTTCTCCAAGCGACGATGGCGCCAGGTTCAGTACCTCGCAGACATCTTTTGGAAAAGATGGGTGTCGGAGTATCTGCCGCTGTTGCAGCACAGACAGAAGTGGATGAAAACTGAAAGAAACCTCTCAGTAGGGGATCTCGTCTTGGTTGTTGACTTATCTCTTCCGCGACTTCAATGGCCTTTAGGACGTGTGGCTGAGGTGTTCCCAGATGCTAGCGGCCATGTGAGGACTGTTATTGTCAAGACGGCACGCTCAGTTCTCAAGCGACCGATCAACAAGCTGGTGCTCGTGCAAGAGGAGTAGCGGGTTTCTGTTTGAATCAGGTGGAGGTTGGATAGCTTACCTTGTATTGGTTGTAGTTCAGCTGGTGGCGGCTTGCCAGCCTTCATCAGGTCGGAGAGAGCCTAGAGTTTGGTTGAACCTTGATCGGTTCAAGGAGGAGGGTGTAAGCGCGAAGATGTATTTCTGTCCTTTATTCCTTTTATTTACCGGCCGCAACCTCCAGCGTGGGCTCTCCTCATGTATGTTTTGAGACGTTTAGTTTTTGCCCCGCCGAGTCTGTGTAGAAGGCGGCCGGCCTGTGTCTGCAGTGGTAAAAGCGATATAATTCGGTAAGATGTTTATTTTCGGTTATTTAGGCTGGTTTAGTTCAATTTAATTTGTTATTCTGCTTCTCGGTATTTTTATTGTTTTGTCGCTTTCGTTTACCTAGTTGAATGATCGAAATCGTTTTGGCACGGCGCCAGGCGAGGAGGCGAATAGTAAGTCCTCAAGTGCTGTATGGGACCTGACTGTGTGATTTTTCATTTTAGGAACCGTGTGTTGTGTCAACCCGGCATAATACATGAGTACCGAGATATCGCCTCTAAGAGGGGCCCGGCGAGTGAGACACCTGCTACGAGCCCACTTTGAGGCAACAAGCGAACTGCTGCAAAAAGCACAGGCGGTCACAGTTCCGAATTATATCGCTTTTACCACTACAGACACAGGCCGGCCGCCTTCTACAATGCTTCTACAAGCATACAGTACCTGCTGCGGAGGGCAGCCAGCACGTGTTCACGGCCGGAATGACCGGCCAGCGCGTGAAAGGCTCGGATCACCAAGTCCGTTACGTGGCCCTTACCCGGCAGCAGGAACGGATGACGTGCACGCGCGTGGACAGGCGCAGCGCCCAGTCTGCCTCCGACACAAATGATGCCATCTTGAATCTGAGGATTGAGCCGGAACAGAGGACTGGATCGTTTGACCAAGCCACCTCTCTTCAGCGAACTCAGCTCTTCTGGAAACGCCGACGCCTGCACGACGCCAACGATTGCCCTCTCTGCTTGATCGAGCTCTTCCACCGTGAGGCGTCCGCTGAAAGATGCTCCCTCTTTCCCTGACTTCCGCGCCTTGAGGATCTGCGCCACGCGTCTGATCCACACAACTGCTCTTTTTAGCCGGTACCAGGTTGAGTAGTGCCTAATCAGCCTCCAGGTCGGAGTCTCTTCCTCGATGACAGCTGTGGCGACCTTGACTTCTTTCCTCACTTCTGGGTCGTCTTCTTCAGTGACCATGGCTGCCGGCATCTGAGGCCACCGCGCCTCCTCTTCACACAGGAACTCTGGGCCGCGCAGCCAGCGCTCGGTCTGCACTCCTCTGGTTGCATCGTCGGCTGGGTTCTGCTTGGAGCCGACGTGTCTCCACTGGCAGGTTGCTGATCCATCACGGATCACTGCGAGGCGGTTTGTAACGAAGGTGTGATACCTGGCCCGGTCGTTTCGGATGTACCGCAGCACGGTGGTACTATCTGTCCAATAGTAGACTCCGTGGATAGACATCTCAAGAGCCTTCTCCAGCATCGTGCTTATCCTGACAGCCATCGTGGCTGCAGCGAGCTCCAACCGCGGAATTGTCATCGCCTTCAATGGAGCCACGCGTGCCTTTCCAAAAACGAACGCACAGTGAACCTTGCCGGCAGAGTTCGTGAGGCGCAGGTACGTGACACAGGCGTAAGCCTGTTGGCTGGCGTCCGAGAAGTTGTGCAACTGAGCCGATACGACGTCGCCAAAGCCAACTGGCCGGTAGCATCTCGGAAGCGTCACCTTTGCCAGTCCAGGAAGATTCGCCACCCATGCTTCCCACTGTGTTTTCTGCTGCAAAGGAATGGACGAATCCCAATCCAACTGCAGCCTCATCAAGTCCTGCATGATCAGGCGTCCTCGAAGAACAGCTGGCGACACGATTCCCAGGGGGTCATACATGGCTGCGATCATCGAGAGAACGCCTCTTCTGGTAGCCGGCGAACTTCTTGTCGTCACCCTTACGCTGAGTGCATCGTCCTCCAACGTCCAGCACACACCCAGCGCCTTCTCCACTGGAAGCGCGTCGATACTCAGGTTCAGTTCAGTGACACACCTCCCACGTTCTTCCTTTGGAACCGACTCGAGCAGCTCACGGCTGTTGCTGACAAACTTCGTTAGTCGGAAACCGCCCAGATCACACACATCTTTCAACTCCTTCGCCATCTTCACAGCATCTTCTGGCGTTTCAACTGACACAAGGCAATCATCTACATAGAACTTCTGTTTCACAGCCTTGCTCACTTCGGGATCACAGTCTTCCTTGTCATCAGCACACTTTCTCAAAGCGAAGTTGGCACAGCTTGGAGATGAGCTTGCCCCGAAGCAGTGCACGGTCATCCGGAACTCCTCCGGATCTCTGGAGAAATCGCCACCTGGCCACCACAAGAACCTCATGACGTCTCGGTCCTCTTCAGGAACAGCTACCTGATAAAACATAGCTTCCACGTCAGCCATAAACGCGCAAGGACCCTCTCTGAACTGCACCAAAACATCTGTCAACGAGTTCGCGAGATCTGGCCCCTGCATGAGAACACTGTTCAGGGAAACGTCCCGAAACCTTGCCGCACAATCGAAGACTACTCGGATCTTCTCCTTTTTGAACGGGTGGTAAACCCCATGATGAGGTATGTACCACACCTTTCCATCATTTCTTGTCAGGCTCTCCGTGGGAACCTTCTCGGCATGTCCCTTCCTGAACATGTCCTCCATGAATTTGCGGTAGTCTTGAGAGAACTTCACATCCTTCTCCAATTTCTTCTTGAGGCCCACGAGTCTTCTTTGAGCGCAGGTCTTGTTGTTTGGCATCGCAGGGTCAGTATCTCGGAATGGCAACGCTATTTGGAAGTGTCCATTTGCTTGTCGTTTACAACTCTGAGTCACCTTCTCCATCCAGCGACGATCCTCCTCTGAGGGCCCCTTCTCGGTGGCGCTGATCTTCTCTGGAAATTCCTTGTCGTACATGTTAACCAGCATCTCATCAAGCTTCATCTTGTCAACTTGCACGCAGTTTACCTTCACTCTTCTTCCATCCAGCAGAGAGTTGTGCCTCGGGCCCTGCACCACCCAACCCAAGTCTGTTCGAATAGCGTACGGACCACCGTTCCGACTTCTTCTGATCTCTACAGGCTGGAGAGCTTCTGGGCAATCATTTCCTATCAGGAGTCCAATCTCTGCATCGATGCGGGGCAGCTCGATCCCCCTCAATTGGGCACACTGATCAACCTCTTCACTTGAGGCCATATCCTCATGCTTCACAGGGATGGCACTGAGAGTGTAAGTAGGAGGGAGTGGAATCATGTTGTCGCCGTCCAAGCTGGCAACCTTCAACCCTCGTACTACACGACTGTCCAGCTCCTGATTCTCGACTGAAGCTGTGGTCATAGAGATCTTGGTGTCTTCCCCAACAACTCCCAGCTCATCCAGAAGAGACCTTGAACAGAATGTAGCTGAGCTGCCTCCATCCAAGAAAGCGTAGGTCTCAACTTCCTTACCACCATCCGAAGACCACACCCTGACTGGCAAGATGGACATCATGACGGCTGGCGTCCTCGACTTCAACCCATCACCTGTTTTCAGCAGATCAACCCCCAGGCTCTTCACTCTTGTTTGTTCTTGAGGACTCTGCATCCGTTCTCCTTCACTTGGTGGCTGAGGCTGCTGTTCATAGTGCAAAGATGTTGGGTGTCTTTTCTTGCAGATCGCGCATGTCCTCCTTCTGTTACAGAACTTTGACACATGTCCTTTGTTGAGACATCCAAAACAGAGGCCGTTGTTCTTTACGAAGGTCTCCCTTTCTGTGCGACATTTCATCCTTAGATTCTTGCAGGCCTCCACGTGATGCTCTTCTCCACAGAAGAGGCAGGCCCGCTGTTGATCAGCCTCGATGCGGTTGCACTTCTTTACTTGACCTCTAGGGCTTGAGCTTCTAGGGTCCGACGTCTTCTTCGAGAAGTTCGAAAACAGCTGACGACCAAAAGAGGAGTTTGACGCTATCCGTGCCTCTACCTCAACGAAGTTCACCAGGTCTGTGAATGAAGCTTGTCTTTCATTCCTTTCTGCGATCCTGTCCACTTCTCGTCTCCATCCCTCTTGAATCGAGAATGGCAACTTCTCGAGAAGTCTCCGTAGGGTTTTGGGATGGTTGAGTTCATCGGCTCCACCCAGGCTTCCAACTGCATTGCTGCAGGTCCGCAGCTCCACTGCCAGGCGATCCAGAGCCGTCACGTCATCATTTCTTACCTGAGGCCAGGCCATCAACCCTTCGATAAAGGATTCAGTCATTTTTTGAGGATTGCCATATCTCTTCAGCAACAATCTCCTCGCCTCCTGGTATCCACCTGATGACATAAACATGCACCCTCTGACAATATCACGTGGTACTCCTGAAGTGAACTGCTCCAGGTAGCAAAGCTTGTCGCCTTCATCTGTCACAACGCTGTCAATACGTCCGTCAAAGGCCCTGAGAAACTGATGAAACCTGGTCGGGTCTCCTGAAAATACCGGAATCTCAGGTTTAGGAAGGATGCTTGATGTCAACAGCTTCCTCATCAAAGCAGAGTGAGGGTCCTCACCATCTACTCCTCCAACTTCCGGAGCTGATACCTGGGGGCGAGAGACCTGCTTCACAGTGACTGGGTTCTGAACAAAGTCATTTGCATATTGGTCAACACCTCCAGAGACAGCAGAGTTTGGGCTGCTTGCCGTCAGTGCTGTTTCAATAGCCTCTGACTCCGCCAGGGCTTGCTGCAGCTCGAGTTCCTCTTTCTTCATCTTGAGCTCTTGTTCTTTGAGTTCCAGTGCTTGTTTCTCTCTCAAGTACTTCATTTTAACCTTCAGAGCAGCTTGCTTGGCAGCCTGCTGAGCCCTCAGAGACGCCAGTGTCCCTGACGATCCTGAGTGCCTGGATGCTAGGGACGCACCCACTTGAGACACACTGTCACCTGGCTTCACATCATCAGTTGGCTGACCTCCGTCCCCTTGCTTTCGTCCTCTTCCGTCCTCTTGGTCTTCGATCGGCATCTTCAGTCTTCGATCAGCATCTTCAGGATTCACCGGGGCAAGGTAGCCCGGACCACCTGGACTCTTCACCTCTGGCTGGCTGGGCACTGGAGCGCTGACGTGCTGCCTCACAACGGCTGACGGATCTTCTGGAATCTCATCTGCCTGTTCCATTCCACCTGTAGGATTGCCAAACAGCTGAGCAACAAAGAATGCCTCATCAACACCTTCACCATGAAGAACTTCTCTCAATCGTTCTACAAGAACTGCTTTAGTTCCTCTGATGTCAACATTTCTTGCTAGCAACTGTGCCTTCAACAATGGAACTGTTAGGCTCGACAAGTCCATGATAACTAAAGACAGAAACCTCAGATCTTCTGAAGAGTAATGATCCTCTCAACCCCTCACTGAACTTATCGATGGCCTTCCAGGCTGAGGATTCAGGAATATCTGGCAAAGGACTCCAGGCAGAATTATCAGGGGCTTTCAAGTTTCAACATTTGACAACTGAAATGTCACCTTCTACAGAAGTCAAACCCGTCAAGCTGGTTACGGATGCCCTACAAAATCACACTTTCTACAGCATGGGCATGTTCCACTCATTCAACAGCCAATTCTACAGATATAACAACCGTCTCAACATTTAACATCAGGCAGCACATTCACTATCTCCAGTTGACGACGAACGAGGCTATGCACAGCAACATATCTGAAGGCACATCATCAAAAAGTTAAATCATCAGCTGCAATTTGGTAGCAAGCAGTATAGATAAGTCCTTAGCAGCATATATGAAACGGCTGTCTCTGCTCACCACAGTTCAGATGCAGTTGGCGTGATGCCAAGTACTGATCAGGTCTCACGCAGGTTGCTGTGCAGCAGGTGACAGCCAGGCTGCGGAAGTGCAGGCTGAAGATCCCCACATCAGGAGGAGGTGAAGCAGTAGATACGCCAGTTGCAGATCTGGAGACTGTACTTGCGGTTTCCAGCGTCTGTGGCGTCCTTCAGGCGAATTCGGAACTGTGACCGCCTGTGCTTTTTGCAGCAGTTCGCTTGTTGCCTCAAAGTGGGCTCGTAGCAGGTGTCTCACTCGCCGGGCCCCTCTTAGAGGCGATATCTCGGTACTCATGTATTATGCCGGGTTGACACAACACACGGTTCCTAAAATGAAAAATCACACAGTCAGGTCCCATACAGCACTTGAGGACTTACTATTCGCCTCCTCGCCTGGCGCCGTGCCAAAACGATTTCGATCATTCAACTAGGTAAACGAAAGCGACAAAACAATAAAAATACCGAGAAGCAGAATAACAAATTAAATTGAACTAAACCAGCCTAAATAACCGAAAATAAACATCTTACCGAATTATATCGCTTTTACCACTGCAGACACAGGCCGGCCGCCTTCTACACAGACTCGGCGGGGCAAAAACTAAACGTCTCAAAACATACATGAGGAGAGCCCACGCTGGAGGTTGCGGCCGGTAAATAAAAGGAATAAAGGACAGAAATACATCTTCGCGCTTACACAAGGCTTGGGTCAAAAGTTATTGCAGAAAAACGGTTTCCGAAAAAATCGGCTATTTTTGCAGTTTTTGCCCCCTGCAGGCAAAACCGTTGACGGTAGATCAAATCTGAGAGAATTACTCAGAAAGGGCGTTAATAGGGCTATCGAATGCGCTTTTCCGCGGCGCTGTAGCTCTATTGGTTCCCATGTTATGCGTTGGCTTCTGGTAATTAACAGCAACATCAACTGTAATTAACAGCAACATCAACTACTTCATAAGATGGGCTGTCTCATGACATCTGCTTCCTCAACAGCATGCTCATAAACACCTACAAAATCATAGCAACAACACAGCTTGTGATCACTAGCATGTATGTTAAAGGAAATAGTTCACATTTTAACATGGGTTTTTAACTGGAATAGCAGTTCCGTAGCTTGGGCTGAGACGAGCATAAATCAGGAGCTTTTACAGCCAAACGATCACCCTAGGCAAAGATATTCTATTTCTCGTCCCGAAAAAGGTGCCTTGCGTTGAGGTTGTGTGCCTTGCATATATTTGCATCCAGTATGAAACGAGCATGGGTCCCGAAAATTCTTCAGAAACGCTCCAGTAACAAAAGAAAATTATTCAGAAAATTCTTCAGAGGCGCTCCAGTAACAAAAGCATGAGCAGATCGCCCAAATGCCGGTGGCCGCGATAATTTTTCTAGCTTCTGAAGAATTTTCGGGACCCATGCTCTTTTCATACTGGATCGCGTGTGCCTTACAGAAACTGAAAAGTTCTTCCTATATCAAAAATATAGAAAATGATATTTTGTTATAAAAAGGTTTTATTTTCTTTGCTGATCATTTTGAACATAAAAAATCATAAATCCATTGCAAAAAATATAATTTCGTGAAAGTGAACTATTTCCTTTAAACAAAATCAAAATGGAATAGCAACAAAAAGTACAATAACTGATGTCAATTTAGCACTTCAATTTGTGTGCAAATTGTGATGATTTGTTGCCTGTTGACCAGTGATGGTGTGTCCAATCGGAAATGGCTAATCACAATAAGGAAATAAAATATTTCACTTATCTTCAATATTGCTAGCCTGGATTTGTGTTTACCTAAAATTTATCCAATGCTGCACTGATACTCATTGCCTGTCACGTTTCTCACGTTTCATTACCCAATGAAACTCACCACATCACAAAATGACTCCTTTCCTACATGTTTCCACACGCCTCCCCCTCGTATTCTCTCACTCTCTCGCTCACTCTGACCTTCAAACACCACAAGCAAACGTAAACAATGAGTAGGTAGTATGGAAACCACGTGCTAACTTCATTCATAAAATAACCTTCAAATGATACAAACAAAATACATGAGTTACCGTGGATTATCACGTGACCTTATCAAGTTTTTTTCTTGCCAAAGTTGAAACAATGCAAATCACAAATAACCTAAAAACAAATAAAACAAAATACAAATGAATCTTCTTGCCATGATGTTCTATCCTTGGTATGAAGTTATTAAAAACAAATGCAACGAACATTCATTACTATAAAGTCACGTGACTTTTTCCATATCAAATAATGAAAATAGTCAGCCTTGGGCTTCCCTCACATGGGTTAGTCCGCCTCGTTTCAACGCCAGCCAAGAGGCGCTTGTTGCGTCGAACTGGTGAGGTGCTGGACATTGATTGTGCTATTTTCTGTTAGATTAGACATACCATACTTGAATGAATCTAGTAGAATGTACTGATTCAAATGGATCTCTTGATACTAAAATATTTAATCCCTTCCAAAGATTAGCATCATCTGATCTGCACCTGACTCATGAAAAATTTGAAGAACTGAGATCTTCATGCAAATATTTCTCCCTTCCCCAAACACAAAATTTGAAAACTACTCCTGACCTCAACCAACTCAGTATCCTGCATGTTAACGCCAGATCTATTTCATCCAATGACAGATTTGATGAATTCCAGCTTTTCCTACAAAGAACACAATGTACATGGCATTTCATATGTGTCTCGGAAACATGGTTATCAAATGAATCAGTAAATAGTCATCAGCTTCCTGGTTTCACAGGATACTTCAACAACAGGGTCGGAAGGAGTGGAGGAGGAGTTGCAGTTTATGTCAATGATAAATATGTTAAATCCTCATGTGATATAAAATTAAGCACAATGTCATGCACCCAATCCCTTTTTATTGAATGTCAAATAACAAGCATAACTGGAGTGATTGTTGGCATTATATACAAACCTCCTGATTTGGTAAACAACTTGTTTCTAGATGAACTCACAGCCTCTCTTGAACAGATTGAGAAAAAGAATAAATCAACATTTATTGCTGGTGACTTCAATTTTGACTTACACAATATTGAACAGGACAGTGCATGTCTAGAATTCTTCAACATCATGACTTCTCACAGCTACTGGCCAACAATTTCAAAATCAACAAGAGTCTCGGAGGACAGATGGTCACTGATTGATAATATTTTTTGCAATAACCTTGAGCTCTTGTCCTATTCTGGCATCATATATGATGACTTTTCTGACCACTTCCCTATATTCACATGCTGTACTAAAAAAATCAACCCACCTGAAGACAATTGGATTACCACCTTCAATTATAACAAAGTCACTGAACTACAAGAATACCTATCCCAACAGCTCTCAACATTCCATACCATCCCTGATGCAAATACTGCAGCTGATACACTTATCAATGCATACTCTTCAGGCATAGCATTGTTTAGCATTAAGAGGAAGTGTACTAGGAAAACAACAGCCATAAAACCTTGGATATCTTCAGCAATTCTCACCTCAATAAATACCCGTAGCACTCTATATAGAGAAAAAACAAAGAATCCTACAAATAGAAACAAACTTGCCTATCAAAGACATAGAAACTGCCTCAATGGCTTGATAAGGGAAGCGAAGAAAAAGTACTTTCAGGAACAATTATTGCTTCATAAGACAAATTCAAAGAAAATGTGGGAAATACTCAACAGTTGTATAAATAAGAATCCTAGAAAATCTGAAGTATCTACTGCTTTCAGTGATGCGCATGGAAATCCCATTGAAGACACCAAGCAAGTAGCTCACTTATTTAACAATTTTTTCATATCAATTGGTGAGAAGCTTGAAAAAGAAATCCCAAATACCAGAACTGATCCCCTGGATAGTGTCACTTCCAGTGAAAACACATTTGATCATTTTCACCCAACAAATTCTGCAGAATTAGACTCCATGATAAGAAATATGAAAAATGTTGGTGCTGGTATTGACAACATCAATTCAAAAATATTCAAAAATACATATTCAGCAATACTCAGTCAATTGGTTCATTTAATAAACATATCGTTGAGTACTGGAACATTTCCTGAAAGTATGAAGATGGCTGTGGTGAAGCCATTATACAAATCTGGAAGTAAAAATATATTTAGCAACTATAGACCCATTAGTATCCTTCCCTATCTTTCCAAACTTCTAGAAAAGATTGTACACCAGAGAATCAATGCATACCTCATACAGAATGACATATTATGTAAGGATCAATTTGGCTTTCAAAAATCCTTATCAACATACATGCCTATAGTACTCCTGCAAGAACGAATAACAAAAAGCATGGAAAATGGGAAAATGTCCTCAGCGGTATTCATTGACCTTAAAAAAGCATTTGATACAGTGAACCACAACATACTCATCAGCAAATGTCGTAAATACGGATTTACTGGTCGTGCTCTTCACTTTATCAAGTCATATCTCACAAACAGACAACAATGTGTAGAATTTAAAAGTACTAGATCCTCTTTTCAAAGTATTAAGCTAGGAGTGCCCCAAGGCTCTATCCTAGGCCCCTTACTCTTCCTTATATACATAAATGACTTAAAAAATGTATGCAAAAAATCAGAATGCCTTCTATATGCTGATGACACAGCCTTACTTTTTGAAGGTGAAAATACACAGGAACTACAAGAAAATATGAATAAAGAACTTGAAGCTGTATCCATTTGGCTTCAAGCAAACAAACTCACACTCAACGTACAAAAAACCATTTACCAAGTATACAACCAAATGGGTAATATCATTAATTTGAACATTATGATACATGGTGAAAAAATTGAAATAGCAGAAAAAGTAAAATATCTAGGCATCACTATTGACCCTGCCTTGAAGTGGAAATACCACATCGATAACATAGCAATCATTATCAGTAGAAATATTGGAATCTTGAGTAGAGCGAAGTACTTTCTTCCTGAAAAATCATTACTCTTGCTCTACAACTCACTGATCAGCGTTACCGCTGGCGTCTCGCTGGTTTCCCTAGATTCTCACGAAAATTTCCCTATTTTAAAAACAATTTCCCTAGATGCGGTTATTTTCATGGAATTTGACGTACTTTCCTAATTTTAACCATTCGTGTTATAAACCCAGTTTACATAGCATATTTGACGAGGCTCTATCTCGTTAATTTGGCAATAATTTCGTTGCAGTGGTCTTCAAATATTTAGAGGGGATCATTTTGTAAATTGTTAAGCACCATTGGCATCTTTTGCAACATCACGGACGGAGATATAAGCTTGCAACAAACCCTATGTAAACGCGTCTATAGTCAGCAATGAACAAAACAGCAATGAACTACATTCTGTGACGTTAGCGTCAGAGATTCTAATGAAATTGCTTGCATAGGTATAGCAAATTACTGTATGTGGTATAATATAATTTCGTGGTATAGGTATCGCAAATTGTGGTGTGTTGCGGGACGCGGGAAACTACCGTATGGGTAGCGGTAGTGCTGGCGTAAGAGACGAGTCGATGCATTATTTGATCTTGCACCGTCAGATTGACCGTATGGAAGTGATACGCGCTAGACATTGTAAAAATCGCGCTAAAACAAAAACTTTGATGTAAAAAATTAGTCGCACCCGAAATGGTACAAAGCAGAAGGAGTTTGTTTTGAAATAATAGCAAGAATTATATATACATGCTTACATATGTACCTAATTCCCTATATATCTTTAAAACGAGAGCATCAAACCTGAATATTGTGAAAAATGTTCTCATATTTATTCGATATGACATGCGGAAGAATAATTCATGACAACAATGGAGCGTTGGAGACAACGCTCAACGAAGGTTGGAGACAACAAAGAGCGTTGGAGACCCGGTCCCGTAGCTCAGTTGGTAAAGCGTTGGAGAGCAGATCCCGTAGCTCAGTTGGTAGAGCATTGGACTCCACGTGGTGAGAGCACGCGTTCCCGGTTATAACAGTCCGGGTTCGAAGCGCGACGGGCGCTGGACATTTATGGGCCTCCTGACAGGTATGGTTGCGGTTGGTGGCAGGCCGTAGCCAGGCGAAGTCAGTGAGGGGGCCGTCTATGAGGGCGCGGCTATGTGCGAACGTTTAACTTTGGACTCTAAATTCTGCCATAGAACTGGAATTGCGCGATCGGAAGGTAGAGGGCAGGGTCACCGCAACAAGCTTCGCTTAGCGGTGGCTCTGTCCTTGTGAATCCTTCCTATCAAAAGGTTTGGACTAAATTTATTTTTAAAAAATGATTTCGATTGTTGAAAAAAAAACAATTTTTTTTGGGTTTGTGGTATTTCCCTAGATTTCGTGTGAAATCCATATATCCCTAGATCTTCGCTGATTTCCATAGAAAAGGGAAATTTCCCTAGCAGCGGTAACCCTGTCACTGATTCTTCCTTACTTAAACTATTGCTGCCTAATCTGGGGTTTCACATATCCAACTTATCTCCACAAAATCGAAGTATTACAAAAACGAGCAGTTCGAATTATAGTAAATGAACATCGTCTTGCACATACTATGCCCATATTTCGTAAGCTCAATGTTCTTAAAGTAAACGCACTAGCTAGACAACAACTTATCATGTTCATGTATCGAAAATTCGCTTCACATTTACCATCACAACTTAACCAATTGTTTGCTACAGTAGATCAGGATAATATAAGAACAAGAAATAGACAACATTTTCACGAACCCTTCTCGGCAAAACGTTATCGTGCACAAATAGCATCATGGATAGGACCGCGTGTCTGGAATAATGTCGTTGCATCCCAATTCTCTATAACAACCATTAATCAGATGTCTAAATCTCAGCTAAAAAGACACGTCAAAGCATACTTCATACAAAATATGTAAGCTTTCTCGAGAATTTCCTCTTGAATTCTCGCTATCCTTTCATTGCAACTTAATTTCAAATGTACTTGCCTCAAAACTGCACTAATTGCAAGTAAATCACGTTTCATCGAAATTATTTTCATCATCGTCACCATGAATAACTCTGGCGCTGGAGCAAGGAGCCTGACCAGCAACAAGCTTCGCTTCTGGAAAGGCTTTTCTGCCCTCAGCATTGACCGGCCGAATTTTTGACCAGAGCGAATCCCCACGTATGTTTGCATGACGTGTGAATGAGCGATTGTTTTTTCTACTCTAGATGAATGCATGCCCTTCTGAGTGAATGTTGCTTTCGGTATCGTAGTAGAGAACAGTCATCTGTCTGGTTTTAGCAGTGGCTACTTTCGCATTCTGTTCTTGTCTCCGCCTAAACCCGCTACCCCTTCTCTCATTTGCTTTTTTTAGTTTTATTTCCTTTCTTAGCAGGGAGTGCCGCGACTTATCAGTTTATTTTATCTGGTGTTAACGTAAGGTTCTGCTAGTCGCTGGGTTTGAGGGCGGGGGCACTCCTGGTCACCTGATCATGGGTGGCGGAGTAGTTCGAAAAAAAAAAAATTCGACATTCGACCTGGAAATCGGCGAAATTTTGCCTTCAATGACCTCTGGTGACCTGACCTTTGACCTGACCAAAAAATTGACTGAAGTGATTTCGTCATTATTTTTGACGCTCTTTCGAACGCCGTCTTCCGCGTATCACTACGTGGCCCAGGAGCCGAGTTACAAGGGGGGGGGTGTTCAAACACCCCCCCCCCAGCAGGGCGTGGAAATCCAGGACCCCCAGCCGGGCGCGGGTTAATGGCATTCTAAAAAAATAGGTTGCAGGAAAATGTGTGTTTTGGGCATTTAGATGTGCACGAATTTGAAAGGTCTCCGTAGCGGTGGTGAGGGTAGGTTCTAAGGCTGCGTGAGTGAAAATGGATTTCTCCAGCTGTCCGCTGTTTTTGAGCACGAAGATGTTTTTTCCAAGATGGCGGCGAGGTACATGTTGTATCAGAGCCGGGTGGGGTATGTTGTAACATGTATGTATGTATGTATGTATGGGTATGTTGCTTTTGATCGCGAAAGCTAAGCCCTGGCTCGCGTTTGTAGGTAGCTAGTCAATACTCGTTCCTTTTCGGCACAATGTGTTGGCTGCTTTGCTCTTAACGGGTCACTTTTGCGTCTAGTCTGTTGATGTTTCGTTCGTTTCGATGTTTCGTTCGCATTGACCAAGTTTGGTCTAATAAAAGTGAAGCCTTTGAGCAAATACATTGTATTAACCCCATTTAATGTTGTTGTTATGTTCAAAACCAGTAGCAAACACACTCCCTGAAACGTGAAATAGTGATACAAATTACCCCACCATGTGATACAACTCACCCAAGCCATGGGGCAAGTTGTATCAAAAACATTGCTCTCTTCGGCAGACCGTAGAAGAAAAACTAGTAGAGGTAACGGAAAAGTTACCTTGCACAAAAAAGCAGAAGAATCAAGGAAGGAGATAGTATGGAAATAATGAGTTTATCACGGATAGTTACGAGGTTATGGGTCTCGGAGTAAAAACTGATACAACCCACCCCACTCTCCCCTAAGGTTTATTTCATTCAAATCAAACAAGTACAACCAAAGTTATGGTCGTTCAAAAATATAAAGATGCAACATTTTGTAAACAATTTGAATATTTAGAGGACCTGTGGTCAGAATGTGCAAAAAACATCAATGTAATGTCCGGGGCCACACAGGAACTCGCTCACAAATTTATAATGAAATCGCTGATGGTAAGGTGCAAAACAGCCGATTTTTGTTCGATTTGACGTGGAATGCCCCAGCTATAGCGACACTTGCAGTGCAAATGGTAGCAGACAGCAGTAGTTTCCCCTACCAAAGTGGTGGTTTTCTACCACAGATGCTCGTCGATCTCGGAATTTCCAAATACGCCCGAAGGGCATATTAGTCACGTGACATTTGGAACTTCTCCCTCTCCATGGGCCTTCTACATGCTGAATGTCACGTGTGAATTTCACGAACCTTGATCAAATCGCCCCAGGCGCCCTGTTTCACCCAGTGTTTTTATATACCTTGGTTTCACCGTCGTCCGTCGTTTTTGCATCGATTGGATTTTTCTAGTGTTTCAAGGTAAGATTTTGCAGGAAACTTGGTGTAAATGTGAAGAGTAAGTGTTCTGTAAGATGGCATGACACTAATCAGATTGAATTAACTACAATGAAAACGCTTGGTTATGATGGCCTCCCCGACCCCAGTCCCCAGGCTGGATATGAGAGATTGGCAATACCAGAGTGCTGTTCACGGACACCTGCGGTAACTGCGGTAGCTGCGGTAGATCGCAGGCTGTAAGTCCCGCCCACTTGTGCGTACGTCATCATGCGTTTGTCTGAGGCGGCTGCGTCAATTTTCCGCCCAAGTTACACAAATGCGCAACTGCCGCGCCACTTTACATGACAAATGGTTCCTGCGGTCGCTGTGGTCGGATCGTTTCGACCGCAGGAGACGCAGAGAACCGCAACCGGCCGCAGCCGTTTGACGTCACACCACCCGCCCCATCCCCACTTTCTGTGACGTCATTACCCGGCTGACCGCCGAGCCGCAGCTACCGCAGGTGCCCGTAAACAGCACTCAGACTTCTGAGGTCAGACTCATGTTCTGCATGTCAGACTTGGTCTGTGTAGGGATTTTGGACGAAATCGACAGAACGCATTATTTTTGCAGCACAGGAAATGCAAAGCAGAAAACTTTATTAGCTAATGGTGTCATTGTGATTCTAAAGGCAATCAAGTTCGACCAAAGGCTTTGTTTTCCACAGGTTTCAGAGCCTGCGGAGCTGTTGTGACCTGAGTGGCGTTCATCCTCGATGACTGCAGGGGTGGCTGACAGGCCGTGCTGGGCTCTGCCGATCAGGGATTCAGGAGTGACACGACGTACTGGGGACTGACCCGCCAACGCCACAATGAACCTCGAACTGCTCGAGTCGTTTGGCCAAAACTACCCGGAAGAGTTTGACGGCACGCTCGACTGCATCTCGCGCGCTGTGACATGCACGTTCAACCGCAAGGGTACGCTGCTGGCCGTCGGCTGCAACGATGGCCGCGTGGTCATCTGGGACTTTCTGACGCGCGGCATCGCCAAGATAATCTCGGCGCACGTGCACCCGGTGTGCTCTGTGAGCTGGTCGCGCGACGGCCGGCGACTGGTGAGCGCCTGCACCGACAACACGGTCACAGTGTGGCACGTGCTCTCGGGCGAGTGTCAGCACCGATACCGCTTCCCGTCGCCCATACTGAAGGTAAGAGTCGTGCCGCTGCTGGGGATGGGCAGGGGACAGCCGCTGCGCTCTCGGTGCCTCTGTCTGTATGGGACGCTCCTAGCTGTGTACCCATTCCTGGCTGTGAACCCAGTCCTCGCTTTGCAGTGTGTACCCAGTCCTGGCTGTGTACCCAATCCTGGCTGTGTAGTGTGTACCCAGTCCTGGCTGTATTCCCAGTCCTCTTCACTACACTTCACTTCAGTATATTTTGGAAACCAAGAACAAGAAATGGGACGGTCATACTACCTACCTTACCGGTCATACTCAGTCTGTCTGCATCTCTTCTCCTTCCGGTGGCAGAGTGGTTTCGAAGCCCCTTCCTAACACCATTGGTGTCTTCCAAGGATCAGCCCACGGTCCTCTGTTATTCACCATTTTCGCCAACGACCTCAGTCTGCACGCGCCGGGCGCTCATGTGACCCAGTACGCTGACGATACCCAAATCCTTATCTCAGATACCAAACAAAACCTTCCTAACCTTATCCAACGCATGGAGTCTACTCTCACCTCCTTGGCATCGTGGTTCCATGCCCACGGACTTAAACTCAACACATCCAAAACGGAAATTCTCCTCCTTGGCACCCGACAGAATACCAGAGATCTCCCTCCTGTCAGCGTACGGGTCGGTGGCGGGACCGTTCAGGAGAGCCCACATGTTAAAAACCTGGGGGTCATTTTTGACCGCCACCTTACGTGGGATGCCCATGTCAATGACGTGGTGCGCAGATGTGTCGGCCTCCTGATCGGTCTCCGCCACCTGAGGCGCCTCCTCCCGCGGCGGGCGCTTCTTACAATCGTGCAGGGCCTGGTCGTCTCGCGCGTGAGATATTGTCTGTCTGTGTACGGGAACGGCTCCGCGGCTAACGACTTAAGACTGTTAAAGGTTGTGAATTTTGCCACCAGAGTAGTAGCCGGTCTCCGCAGATACGATTATGTGTCTCGCGCGCGGGGCGACCTGGGCCTGCACACACCGCGCCAGATGTGTGACGCGCAGACTGCGATTGTGGCACACAGGGTGCGTGCCCTGGGGGAGCCCGAGGAGCTCGCCTCACTGTTCGTTTCATTCGCTGATGCACGACAGTGTGATCGTTCTACCAGACAGGACGGGGACCTGCGTCCGCCAGCCACCAGAACAGCGGCCGGGCGGCGAGGTTTTGCCTACCGAGCTGCATCGCTTTTAAACTCTCTACCTAATGATGTGACACGGCTCGAGCCATCAGCTTTTAACCCGCGAGTTGCTGGGGGGGGGGGGCGTTAAACGCCCCCACTTTTTTCGCCGGGCCATAGCATAAAAACGGCGCGCCGCAGGCGCGCCAAATTTTGGGTACCTGTAGGGAATTGATTGAAGTTTATTGTGACAAAGTTTCAAAAAAATCGGTCGGAAAATTTTTGAGATATCAAGGTTTTAGTGACGTCATGATTTCTGAGTTTTCGACCAAAAACGGCATAAGTTCAAAAAATCATATAAAATCACACAATAGACATACAGACATGCCGTAAACGCCATTAGACTGCCAATACCATGAACAATCAAATGGCTATCTTCGATTATTGATTATCGTTCCGCATTTTCCAAAATCTTGAACTGAATCTTGGCAATTTCTCGTGACTACTTCACGACCATGATACATGAATTTCTTAAATTGAACTTTTTGAGCCAAACACGTACACATATGATAAAATGAATGTCACCATCGTGTTCTACGCCCTAAATTACCCATAAAACATGTGTCACAGGCTGCGAATATCAGTTTTGATTTTCGGGGATATGTGCCTTCCCGGTTGACCTGACCTTGACCCTGACCCAGGGGGGTACGCTCCGGCTGTTTAGCATTACGAAAAATGGTGACAGACGTTTGTGGAGGATTGTCGACGAACTCTTGTTCCGCGAGCAGTACTTACACGCTAGCGGAAAATTCACCAATCAGCGCTCGGCAGTACTCGACGCTGATTGGTCCGACGCTCGTGACGAAATTGCGGGGGACCGCAGTTATTCTCTATGGACCCGAATAGGCTTTTGGATTTCGGAGGAGTTTCTTTAAAATTATATGCTGTTTGGAGCTGTTTTCGAGTTGAAATATATTTCTTATGACTGTTAGCTATATAATGACACCATAAAATCATGATTTTAATAAATATTACCGATGTAATATCGGCCGAAAAGACATGCTGTCATGGCACGGACTGCCCTGCGGCTGATGTGGGTCCCCTAGTGCCAGCGTATGGTAATAATGGGTTGACGAAGGGTTATTGGAGAAACTTAGAGCCCCTTTAGCATTCAGTATAGGGTCATCAGAGGCCGGGAATGTCCATCAGGGGTCTGAGTAGGCCTGTCATAGGGGCATACATGACACATCATGGCCCATGGGTCAATGTAGATCCATTAGGGGCCGTTGAAGGGCCATCATTGTTCAGCGTGGGCTCGCAATTACCTCTGATGGGCATATACCGTGCCCCGATGGACTAACGCTGGCCCCTGATGAACCATCACCAGCCCCTGATAGGTCTACAAAGCCCTCTGCTGGGTCCAAATTGGTCACTGATATGCCCAAATGGGCCACTGAGAAACCCGTACAACATCCCCTGACTGCACCTGCTGGACCAATGCCGTCCCCTCATGGGCCCACCACAGCTCTTGAATGACCTTTTCAAGTCCCCTGAAGTGCCTTTATTGGCCTAAATGGCCCCTGATTGACTGATGTGGTCCCTATTGGTCCTATATGGCCCCCATGAGCCCTCAACGTCGGCCTAGACAGCCTTACATTATATGCCACTGGGCCCTGTTGGGTCAGCACCGGCCCCCGATAGGCTTGCACACTGGACCCACCGGGCCTATACCGACCCATGAAGGGTCTATGTCGAACCCTCACGGACCTCCGATGACCACACGCCGACATGTGTGGCCCCATCAGCAGTGGTCCGTCTATCCCATGTACTTACGGTCTTTTTGGCCGATGTGACACCGGTAGTATATAGAATGTCATGATTAAATGTCGTTATTACACAGTCAAAAGTCACAGAAAGAATATCCAAGCTCAAAAATGGCCTCAAACCCAACAAAAACTGGTATAAATCCCCTTCAAAAGCCGTAAGTCTATTAAACGCCATAGGGGAATAGCTACAGTCCCCCGCAATTTCGTCACGAGCATCGGGCCAATCAGCGTCGAGTATTGCCGAACGCCGATTGGTCGATTTCCGCTAGCCTGTAAATGCTGCTTGCGGATATAGTTTTGAACAAGTGAGGGTCGCGGCTACTAATTATCGCTTGTCACCACTTTTTCGTCGGGAACGTTCTACCTGGTTTATATAGCCTTGCCCTGACCTATGCTTGACTGACCCCTACATGGAGCTGACACTCTTGTAGGCCTGATATGATGGATTGTGTACCGTTTTGACAGAGTTTATGACGAGAGGCGCCCATTGCGAAGTCCTGAAGTCCATGCTACTGAAAGCCCGATTTTGGGTGTTTGACCTGACCTTGACCCGACCTGTGACCTCAAAATTCAACTTTAAAGTACTCATCTGAAGCGTCTCGTGGCGTTCTTTCGTTTGCCGCCTCGTGCGTTTCGCTGCGCCTATCGGTTCTCGAGTTATCGGCTGGGGGCGTTTAACGCCCCCCCCCCCCCAGCAAACGGTGGGTGGCGAAATACCCCAGCAACTGCCGGGTTAAGCAGGCTGCAAAACGTATATTTTATTCGGAGTGAGTGTGCGTGGGTTTGGTGTTACTGGTGTGTGTGTGTGTGTGTGTGTGTGTGTGTGTGTGTGTGTGTGTGTGTGTGTGTGTGTGTGTGTGTGTGTGTGGGTGTGAGTGTGTTGCTGAGCCAGACGATTGTTATGTTCTACCTTGTACCATTTTGACTCTCCCAACCGTTTTATTGATTGACAATGGACACGTAATAGCCACTCTGTTGTGGAGTGTCTGCTGAAGTGAATATGTGAATATACAAGAAACATCGGAGAACATAATCACGGATCGGCGCAAAAGCAAAATGCTTAAATCAAAGCGCCTTTCCTACAAAACATAAACACAAATAAACGCACAGAAAATGAAATATTAACACGGAAATTAAGTGTTAAATAAAACCACCTGGCAACAGGTCACGACGGCCCTGCCAGCTGTGTACCCACTCCTCGCTGTGTACCCACTCCCAGTCCTGGCTGTGTAGTAATGTAGTATATATCCAGTCCTTGTTTTGTACCCAGTCCTGACTGTGTAGTTTGTACCCAGTCCTGGCTGTGTAGTTTGTACCCAGTCCTGGCTGTGTACCCAGTCCTGGTTGTGTACTGTAGGTACCCAGTCCTGGCTGTATTCCCAGTCCTGGCTGTATTCCCAGTCCTCGCTGTGTACCCAGTCCCAGTCCTGGCTGTGTAGCTTGTACCCAGTCCTGGCTGTGTAGTGTGCACCCAGTCTTGGCTGTGTACCCAGTCCTGGCTGTGTATCCAGTCCTTGCTGTGTTGTGTGTACCCAGTCCTGGCTGTGTACCCAGTCCTGGCTGTATTCTCAGTCCTGGCTGTATTCCCAGTCCTCGCTGTGTACCCACTCCCAGTCCTGGCTGTGTAGCTTGTACCCAGTCCTGGCTGTGTAGTGTGCACCCAGTCTTGGCTGTGTACCCAGTCCTGGCTGTGTATCCAGTCCTTGCTGTGTTGTGTGTACCCAGTCCTGGCTGTGTACCCAGTCCTGGCTGTATTCCCAGTCCTCGCTGTGTACCCACTCCCAGTCCTGGCTGTGTAGCTTGTACCCAGTCCTGGCTGTGTAGTGTGCACCCAGTCTTGGCTGTGTACCCAGTCCTGGCTGTGTATCCAGTCCTTGCTGTGTTGTGTGTACCCAGTCCTGGCTGTGTACCCAGTCCTGGCTGTATTCCCAGTCCTGGCTGTATTCCCAGTCCTCGCTGTGTACCCACTCCCAGTCCTGGCTGTGTAGCTTGTACCCAGTCCTGGCTGTGTACCCAGTCCTGGCTGTGTACCCAGTCCTGTTTGTGTACCCAGTCCTGGCTGTGTAGTGTGTACCCAGTCCTGGCTGTGTATCCAGTCCTGGCTGTGTAGTGTGTACCCAGTCCTGGCTGTGTATCCAGTCCTGGCTGTGTAGTGTGCACCCAGTCTTGGCTGTGTACCCAGTCCTGGCTGTGTACCCAGTCCTGGCTGTGTACCCAGTTCTGGCTGTGTAGTGTGTACCCAGTCTTGGCTGTGTACCCAGTCCTGGCTGTGTACCCAGTCCTTGCTGTGTACCCAGTCCTCGCTGTGTAGTGTGTACCCAGTCCTGGCTGTGTACCCAGTCCTGGCTGTGTACCCAGTCCTGGCTGTGTACCCAGTCCTCGCTGTGTAGTGTGTACCCAGTCCTGGCTGTGTAATGCGTACCCAGTCCTGGCTGTGTAATGCGTACCCAGTCTTGGCTGTGTACCCAGTCTTGGCTGTGTACCCAGTCCTGGCTGTGTAGTGTGTAGTGTGTACCCAGCGGCGCCCCGGTGCCTGTGTCTGCGCGGCGCAGGTGCAGTTTTGTCCGCGCGGCCGGGGCTCGATCCTGGTGTGCCCGCTGAAGCACGCGCCGGTGGTGGTGACGCTGGACGAGGGACACCGGGTGCTGCCCGTCGACGACGACGGAGACCTCAACATCATCGCCACGTTCGACCGGCGCGGCCGCTACATCTACACTGGCAACGCCCGGGGACGCGTGCTCGTCCTGCAGGCCTCCGACTTCAAGGTCAGGCCGCCATGCTAACCAAAGGTGGATGAACCATTTGAGGCACTGATTGCCGCGTGTTTACCAGTTCTTAACCGGGCCGGGGGGGGGGGGGGCATATAGGGGAGACCCGGGAGATATGGGTCGGTTTTGTGAAAAGGCGATTTTCTTCCAGTGGGCAGTGGCTAGACCCGGTTTTTCACTCTGTGCACGTGAAATTGCCTTTCGCCTGCAAAGTGTGCCTGATATTAGGCATCTGGGATCAACTATTTTGTCTCGAGATAACTTTCAATAAATAATGTGCTTTTTCGATCCATCAAAATACACCTGGAGGTATGGGCCATGGCCCGGGAGGTATGGGCCGGTGCCATGTTTCATATTCTTTTCTCGACAATCATGAGAACAATACTCGTAGCTGGTATCCACGTTGATCTCTCTTAGAGCCCAGGAACCGCATAAGCGGCAACGGCTTAACTACTTCATGGAGGTGACTTGGGCACATATGTATTTTGGTAAACTCAATCATGCACCATAAAATAAAATAAATAATATTTTTCTGTTCGAATGAAATTTGAAGTTAAATTTTCAACTTTGCGCGACAAAAATAAAACTTATTGAAGATGACAATGAAAGCATCTTTTTATTGATTTAGGATCAACGGGGGTGGGTGGCCCGAACCTCCCGGTTAGGACGCCAGAATTTGCATAGCATCTCAGCTCATAATCTTGCAAGGAAGCTTCAAATTGTCTATACAGTCTTAATTTGCATGCTTTACACTTTATGTTAGCATTGTTAGCATCATAAAAGGAGCCTGGTTCAAATTTATCACGAATTTTCTGTATGTACAGTATTTTACTCGAAGAGGGCAAAAACGCTTTATCACCGCTCATTGCCAAAGAAGACTGAGGAATATTTTGAATATCACGTGGGCTGTATAACGGAATGGCTGCTGCCAGTTTACGCGGTCAAATGTGTAAAAATACGCAACACTTCTTCAAAACTGCGATAGCCCATACCCCCAGGGGGCCCATACCTCCCGGGTCTCTCCTACATCCCTCCACGAGGACTTTGGCAGATAACCGTTTTGGGGACGCCTTTTGACTGATAATCGCTGCACATATTGTTAATTCTCAGAATCGGGTCGCTCAAGGCCAGTTCACCTTTTTGGTCCGTGAAGTCTAAAATCTCGCGTTGGGTTTTTCGAATAAATAAAAGAAGTTCCTTTTGGCTCTTTATTGCTTTAGCCAAATTTAGTGAGGTTAGTCAGAAACCAGCGTGGCCGTCTGCGACAAGGCCTGAGTCTCGTTGGACTGCTCTGTGGAGACTCTGTCTAGGTTCTCCCGGCTGCGGCCGCTCTCCGGCTCGGCCGGCACACAGTCGTACGTCACACGTGTACATACGTCATATCATAGTGGCCAATGAGGAAAGGATTACCATATTAGGAATTAAATTAAAGCTGGGCGGTCAGGAAAGGAGGCTTATTGATAGGACAGGGAAGTTACTTCGTTACAACAGGTCATACATATGTATATTAACCCTCGCCCTATAGGGGGGGGGGGGTCGAACGAACCCCCCCCCTTGGTTTTTCGCGAATAACTCGCGTAAAAAGCGGCCGATCGCGACGAAACTTTCAGTACCCTCGCGTTAATCAATTTTACACCTACCCTGAAAATTTCATGACCCTGACCCCAATGACCTTTGACCTGTGACCTACTTTTCGAGACCATGTTTGGCCGGAATCGCGATTGGGCGTATGTCGGCTCGCATTAGCCGCCCGTTTGCAGTCTTTTCGTGGTTTTAAGCGTTCAAACATGGGATATGATGTTGCTCCCATGCATTAGGGTGGGTGTCAAGGTCACCGGAAGGTCAGGTCAGGTCATTGACCTTTGATGACCTCGGTTCACTTTTTCGAGTTTTACATGTTTCCAGGCCAGTTTTTGGAGCTGAATTCGAATTTAGCAACCATATGAACATTTACGAAGTAGTTTTGGCACCTTCGTAACATGTTACGAAGCTGTCAGAGGCGGTTTCCACCTACTACGAATACCCTTACTGGTTGACCTGACCTGACCTGACCCGACCTGGCCTAAATGCATGAAGACATCATTTGTGATCAAAACTAAGATGATATTCGTGTTCAGCACCCCGAAAAACCCCATAGCAGCCACGCTTTACGATTTTCTAACAGGTCCCGATTTTCCCGACTTTTGGGTCATTGACCTGACCTGGAAGGTCAACCGATGACCTAGGACCTTAAAATTGGGTATCATCGGCTTCCTCTCGTCACGGGCAACACGCTCGTTTTTTCCGCGAAGCTCTAGCTCGATCAGGGGCGAAACGGCAAGGGGGGGGGGTCCAACGGACCCCCCCTTATACGTTCGTGGCTGGAAAAACACCAATACGGGCGAGGGTTAACCCGCGCCCTGGTGGTGGTGGTTGGGGGGCTATTTTTTGCCCCCCCCCCTCCAGACCTTTTTATATATCTCCAGAAACGCTGCGCCGATCCTCACCAAACTTTCAGTTAGGACCCTTGAACGGCAAAACATTTTATCTTTGACCTGACCTGTGATGTCATCAGTGACCCCGAGGTCAATGAAATTGGATTACCCTCGACAAATTTGACAGGGCTTTCGAACGCCATTTCAATTTTGCGGATCCGTCCAGTAGTTTCGGAGATTCGAGGGGAAGGGGCAAAAATATCCCCCAGGGCGCGGGCTAAATACTGTAAACTTCCGCCCCCCTCCCCCCCCAAAAAAAAACACGAAACATACAGGGTGTAACGAAATCATCCGGACATCTATTTTTTCGCCATATCTGCTCGCACAGTTTTTTTTTTTTTAATGTTGGAATCTGGAAAATTGGGTGAATGCATACCTCTGGAATCTGCTCTCAACTCAGCAGTGATCTGACCTTGCGAAATGACTCTTGTTCTGAGTAAGAGTCGAGTCGCCGATGCGTTCATTTGACAGTTTTCGTTTAAGGCGGTGGAGAGAAGGGAGTACAGTCTCTCGTTTCGTAGTAAGGCTACGTGTTGGTGGCATGGTGGCATGAACCATAAGCTGGTCTATCAGCAGCAGCCAGTAGCACATCTGCCTGAGGCGTAATAGGCTGGGACTTGGTGGCAGACTCAGACCGGCCTCGATCGCAAAGGGCGCCCTTATCCTGGGGTTAGGAAAGTTGTCAAGATAGCGACAAGGAAACGGCACCAATTAATCCGCAAACTGACTCGGATTCTTACCAAGGTAGATACTAAGAGGTCCGACATCATGATTCACCGTTACCCGCCCTTTAGCTTGGTTTTACTGCCCTTCAAACTGAAAAAGACAATGAAATTGACGGGGAAACAACCAGTCCACCACCTTTGGCATCAGGCCAGGGCGTGTCCACTGGTCGAAGGAAGACATGATTGAGGTGGCCTGGTCGGATGGGAAGCTGTTCAAGCTGCGATGCCCGTTGAACCATCAAATCGGCCATGTGTGGGCTGCCAGCAGCTCGAACATGCCGGCCGTCGCCGGCGTCAAACATCCGGTCAAAATCCAGACCTGGAGCATGTTCAGCTGCTCTGCAATATTCAAGCTGTTTATGACGCCACAGAAAACCACATCAGTGACGAGTATTACCGGCGCAACATCCTGGCTAGCGATTGGCTGGAGCCACTCAACCAGACGGCACAGGAGGGCTCGGTTGCTGAACGCGTACTGATGACTGATTCAAGCCGCGCAGTCTTCATGCGGGGCGGTGCACCACCTTCAAGTCCCTAGCAGAATGAGAAGTGATACCGAGAGGACCTATTGTTCTTTTGGGCTAACGGGCTATGGCTTGGAGATGCTTGGAGATAGTTCCCATCCCAATTCCATCGATATCTATTGGACTATTGTCCAGCAGGAGATGAATGAGGGGACACCCGCCACCAACGCCGCCCAACTGTAGGCAGTGGGCACAGGTTAGTAAGGCGCTGCTCTACATGAAACCCACTGTGCTGGAAAACCCAGTGGCTGGAATGCTCCAGAAATTTGTACCTGCGCTCTTATGAAAGGTGGCTATATAATAATTCAAAAGAGAAAATATCAGATTGTCTTGCTTCTTAACCCGCGCCCCACTGGTAGCCCCCCCTCCCGTTTTTCTGCAATAACTTCCAAACCGCTTGACGTATCGACGCCAAACTTTCAGTACCTTTAGCTGCATCAATTTGACACCTTGTGTGAAAATTTGGACTTCGTACCTACCATAGGTCGGCCGGAAATGACGTCAGAGTGACGTCATGTTCGGCCGATTTCGACGCAAAACATTGAACCACGGCAATCGCTCCCAAGAGCTCAGTTTTTAAGCTAGATCCAATTTCTTTGCATGAGAGGTCTCAGAATAGACTGCGCTATCAAACTGCTATCTCGAATTTTCGAAATTTTGAAAATTTCGAAAATTTTATATTATGAAATTCAAAATTTATATTTTTATATTTTTTTTTCAAAAATCTTTTGACTTTTCGAAAAAACCGGAATATATGTGGTAGAACGCATTATTATGACTAACTCTAGCAAGTTTTAGCTAAATATCTTCAAAAATGGCCAAGTTATACGCATTATTGCAAAAAATTAACAATTATAAATTTTTCAAATCAATTTTTCAGCACGAATTTGACATCGTACGCCAATATAAATAGCACCATCGTGTTCCTGAGCTCAAACTGCATCCAATAGACACCTTTTTTGTTGAAAAATTTTAACTTCAAAATTTGACCTTTTTTGACCTGAAAGTGACCTGACCTGAGCTAAATTTGACTCAAAATGACCTCGAATGACAAAGACGACATCAAATTCGAAATATTTGGCCTAAATGGACCATAAAACATGTGTCACGTGACCGACGGATGATATAATATTTTCGTGACCTGTGATGACCTGACCTTGACCTGAAAATCAAAGTACAAGTTTGGTACCCTCAGGGTATCTAGAGCATCTGTTCACGAGTGTGTGAACCAAAAATGAGCCTGATCTGACTTGTAAGACGGCGGCCAGAGCCCAAAACGTGAAGAAGCCAAAATGCTAATAATTTTTACTTTGACCTGACCTGTGACGTCATCGGTGACCTCGAGGTCAATGAAATTAGGTTTCGCTCGACAGTTTTTCCGGGGCTATCAGACGCCGTTTGAATTTTGACGATCGGCCCAGTAGTTTCGGAGTTAGGAGGGGGGGGGGCTATGAATAGCCCCCCCCCCCCCAGTAGGGCGTGTTATACGCAGACCCCAGTGGGGCGCGGGTTAATTACAGCGCGTCGCGAAGAAAGATGTCCGGATAATTTCGTTACACCCTGTACAACAGGCGCTTAACACGTCCTTCGATTATAGTCAAATCGCCCACTTTTACGAGGTGCAATTTCTTAGGGCGTGAAATGCACCTTGATGTGAAATACTACCAGGTTTTATAAAATCATCCGCTCGCAGCCCGGACTCGGACTGACCCCCGCGCCGCAGGTGGGACTGACCGCCGCCCGGCCCGTGTGCCGCGCCGTCGGTGGGACTGACCCCCGCCCGGCCCCGCGCCGCAGGTGGGGTGGGACTGACCGCCGCCCGGCCCGTCTGCCGCGCCGCAGGTGGGGTGGGACTGACCGCCGCCCGGCCCGTCTGCCGCGCCGCAGGTGGGGTGGGACTGACCGCCGCCCGGCCCCACGCCGCAGGTGGGACTGACCCCCGCCCGGCCCCACGCCGCAGGTGGGACTGACCGCCGCCCGGCCCGTCTGCCGCGCCGCAGGTGGTGGCTTCGTTCCGCGTCACCTCCGGCGCGTCCAACAGCACGGCGCTCAAGACGATCGAGTTCGCGCGGCGCGGCGAGTGCTTCCTGGTCAACTCTGTGGACCGCGTGATCCGCGTCTACGACGCCCAGAAGGTGCTGGCCGCCGGCCTGGACGGCGAGCCCGAGCCCGTGCAGAAACTGCAGGACCAGGTACCGGGCGGGCGGGCGGGCACACCGACGGCACGGGGCTGTGCGGACACTGGCAGGGCTGTGCGGACACTGGCTGGGCTGTCTGGAGTTGGACACTGTCTGGGATGTGCGGACACTGGCAGGGCTGTCTGGACACTGGCTGGGCTGTACGGACACTGTCTGGGATGTGCGGACACTGGCTGGGATGTGCGGACACTGGCAGGGCTGTGCAGACACTGGCAGAGCAGTTCCGTCGGCAGCACGGTGACGCTCGGCGCGGCCGGCCGCTATCGGTGACCGCTGCTGTCGGTGACGCCGGGCGCTGTCCGGTGACCGCTGTCCGGTGACCGCTGTCTGGTGACCGCTGCTGTCGGTGACCGCTGCTGTCGGTGACCGCTGCTGTCCGGTGACCGCTGTCCGGTGACGCCGGCCGCTGTCTGATGACCGCCGGGCGCGGCCGGCCGCTGTCCGCAGGTCAATAAGACGATGTGGAAGAAGTGCTGTTTCTCCGGTGACGGGGAGTACGTGTGCGCTGGCTCGGCGCGCCAGCACGACCTCTACATCTGGGAGCGGTCGGTGGGCACGCTGGTGAAGATCCTGCAGGGCACCAAGGGTGAGCTGCTGCTGGACGTGGTGTGGCACCCGGTGCGGCCCATCGTCACCTCCATCTCGGCCGGCGTCGTCTCCGTCTGGGCCCAGAACCAGGTGAGACGGCCCGGGAGGCGGCCCAGAACCAGGTGAGACGGCCCGGGAGGCGGCCCAGAACCAGGTGAGACGGCCCGGGCGACGGCCCAGAACCAGGTGAGACGGGCCGGGCGACGGCCCAGAACCAGGTGAGACGGCCCAGAACCAGGTGAGACGGCCCAGAACCAGGTGAGACGGGCCGGGAGGCGGCCCAGAACCAGGTGAGACGGCCCAGAACCAGGTGAGACGGCCCAGAACCAGGTGAGACGGCCCGGGCGACGGCCCAGAACCAGGTGAGACGGCCCAGAACCAGGTGAGACGGCCCAGAACCAGGTGAGACGGCCCGGGCGACGGCCCAGAACCAGGTGAGACGGCCCGGGCGACGGCCCAGAACCAGGTGAGACGGCCCGGGCGACGGCCCAGAACCAGGTGAGACGGGCCGGGAGGCCGGGCGACGGCCCAGAACCAGGTGAGACGGGCCGGGAGGCGGGGAGACGGGCCGGGAGGCGGGGAGACGGCCCGGGAGGCGGGGAGACGGGCCGGGAGGCGGGGAGACGGCCCGGGAGGCGGGGATACGGGCCGGGAGGCGGGCCGAGAGGCGGGGAGACGGGCCGAGAGGCGGGGAGGCTGGTCGGGAGGCGGGGAGACGGGCCGGGAGACTGGGAGGCTGGTCGGGAGACTGGGGGGCCCTCTGGCACTGTTTCAAAGCCCCGTCTCATTTGCTGGTTGCCGTTTGTAAGCCGCTGTCCGTGTTCAGGGAAGAAATTTGGCCGCTACAGTCTGACCGCACCGGTGCCTGTGCCTTTTTGAAGCTGTACCTATCCGACCTGCTACTTTCCCAGGGCGTACTCGATCCGCTGCCTTTCATGGCTTTACTGTAACCACCCTGCTACCTTTCCGAGGCTGTACCACGATTCGTTACCCTCAAAGGCTCTGCCGTCCCAATCCTGTTCAGCCGGGTCATGCTGTCTAGTCAGCCAGGAGGGAGCCCCCGCTCTGACCCTGCCTACCCCTCCCCCCAATCTCCCCCCGCCGCTCTGACCCTGCCTACCCCTCCCCCAATCTCCCCCCGCTCCGACCCTGCCTACCCCTCCCCCAATCTCCCCCGCTCTGACCCTGCCTACCCCTCCCCCAATCTCCCCCCGCTCCGACCCTGCCTACCCCTCCCCCCAATCTCCCCCGCTCTGACCCTGCCTACCCCTCCCCAATCTCCCCCCGCTCCGACCCTGCCTGCCCCTCCCCCAATCTCCCCCCCCCCCGCTCTGACCCTACCTACCCCTCCCCCAATTTCCCCCCGCTCTGACCCTGCCTACCCCTCCCCCAATCTCCCCCTCTGACCCTGCCTACCCCTCCCCCAATCTCCCCCTCCCCCTCTGACCCTGCCTACCCCTCCCCAATCTCCCCCCGCTCCGACCCTGCCTACCCCTCCCCCCAATCTCCCCCTCTGACCCTGCCTGCCCCTCCCCCAATCTCCCCCGCCTACCCCTCCCCCAATCTCCCCACGCTCTGACCCTGCCTACCCTTCCCCCAATCTCCCCCTCTGACCCTGCCTGCCCCTCCCCCAATCTCCCCCCGCTCTGACCCTGCCTACCCCTCCCCCAATCCCCCGCTCTGACCCTGCCTACCCGTCCCCAATCTCCCCCTCTGACCCTGCCTGCCCCTCCCCCAATCTCCCCCCGCTCTGACCCTGCCTACCCCTCCCCCAATCTCCCCCCGCTCTGACCCTGCCTACCCCTCCCCAATCTCCCCCTCTGACCCTGCCTGCCCCTCCTCCAATCTCCCCCCGCTCTGACCCTGCCTACCCCTCCCCCAATCTCCCCCCGCTCTGACCCTGCCTACCCGTCCCCCAATCTCCCCCCGCTCTGACTCCGTCCTCTGTCCAGGTGGAGAACTGGTCGGCGTTCGCGCCCGACTTCAAAGAGCTGGACGAAAATGTGGAATACGAGGAGCGCGAGTCGGAGTTTGACCTGAGCGACGAGGACCGGACGGTGGCGCAGGCGCCGGGCGCCGCGCGCCACGACGAGGCCCTCGAGGTGGACGTGACCGGCGTGGAGCCGATCCCGGCGCTGCGCAGCAGTGACGAGGAGGGCGACGGCGTCGGCGACCTCGACTACCTGCCCATCGCGCCCGAGGTCAGTCAGCGCCGCCCGGCACCCGCGGCCCGCACCGCGCGCTGGCAGGCCGCCGCCGCAGTTTGTGACAAAGATCCATGTTTCCCTAGGAATGTGTTACGTTCGAGTTTGTCCTAGGTCTCCTTCACTGGGTGCGATTTCACGGTCGTGTCAAATGCTGACTCCGCTGGTCAGCTGAGTATGGGAGGTGGCTACTGTGGCCTGTGGGCCGCGGCCCGGGCCACCTGCACTGGAAACGGTCGCTAATGTTGGGTCAGTCCAGATTAGATCACTGTGTGACTTATGTTAACTGCTCAACTTATCCAGCTCCCTTTTTCACATGTTTGTACATGTGGACACCCCTCCCCCCTCCCCCCAGTGGGTCGCGAGCTAATGCGTGGGACGCTGACCGGTGACACTGACGGCTGACATTGAGCGCTGACTGCTGACACTGACCGCTGGCCGCTGACCATTTATTTATTTATTTCACGTCAAAGGCCCTATCCACACAGGTGTGGCTATTCCAGGACCAGATTAACATTAAACAGAGTATCAAGTGATCACTTACGTAAAAGCAAACGCACAAACACACACTCGATCATACGCTCCCAGACATGGGGTCGTCACGAGCCGACGTCACTGGCAGGCAGCTGCCGCTGTAGCATATAACTCCGCAGCTCTCTTTTTAATAGCCGCGTGTTCTTGTCACGAATGGTTTGTGGCAGATCATTAAAAGCTGTCACAGCGGAATATAAAAAGCGCCTCCTGCCTGATTCCGTTCACTGACCGCTGACCGCTGACACTGACTGCTGACACTGACTGCTGACCGCTGACACTGACCGCTGACGGTCCGCCGTCAGGTCGAGGAGCCCGAGGAGGGCTGGCCCCACGACGGCGGCCCCGAGCAGCAGCAGAGCCGCCGGGACAGCCGCGACAGTCCCAAGAAGAAGCGCGCCAAAATGGTGGACATCGCGCTGGCGGGCGCGCCGTCCGACGAGCCGCACCCGCTGCTCAGCAGCCGGCCGGCCAAGGACAAGCCGGCCAAAAAGACCGCCAGACACAAGGCAGACGCCAAGAGGAAATAGGCGCGGCGCCGGGGGTCAGCGAGAGGGGAGGGGTTCGTCGCCAGGCCTGCCGCCGGCCCGGCCCGGCCCGACAGGCGACCAGCACGTGTCCGCCGCGCCGCCGCCACCGCTAGGTACTGTCGGGTACGCGCCGCCGCCACCGCTAGGTACTGTCGGGTACGCGCCGCCGGCCGCCGGGCGGTGCGAGGCGTCCACATTCATCAATTCATGTCGTCGTTTAGTTCCCGGTCGTGAATTTAGAATACGCCATTGTGAGATGAAAATGTATTCGGAAAGTCTGCGAAATTCATGACTCTGGGCTCTGGCGAACTCAACAGAATGGACAGACGCCCTGAAACAGCGCAGGGGACAGCACAGCACAGAGCGGGTCAGTCGGCCCGGCTGACCGATCTTCACGTGACAGGTTCGTCGGACGCGGCGAGTAGGTAGGACGGCGACTATTGCGTCCATAAGACTGATTAACAAAGCGAATAGTTGATGCGCAATAGTATGTTAGCTCCGTGGAGCGTGGGAGGGATTGTTGGGGAGGGGCCGCTCACAGACAGTGACGCGCGGGTGGCGCCACCCAGCGCCGTCACGGTGACGCTGTCAGGCCGTCACTGCAAGACCGGCAGCGGCGGCCGTCACTGTCCCGTCACCCGAGTAGCGTCCCTCCAAACACCCGGACACACCCTCCAAACACCCGGACACACCCGCCACAGCTGGTCACCGCCAGCGAGTGCAGCTGCTCATCGGCCGGCAGCTTTCACACGTGTAAAAAGGTCACACCTTTATTTGCACAGGGCATCACGTTTGTGTTCCAAAGGATCTCGTAATCTTGCATCACGAGCATATCACATCACCTTTTATCCGTGGTCAATCGCCATTTTCCGGATCACTGCCGGTGTCGCTAGTATTGGCGGCGGTGCGGCCGGGCCGTACGGATGCCGGGCGGCAGTGTGCCTCTAGCGGCCGTCGGCGGCCTCCGGGACGGGCTCGTCGCCGTCGGACGCCGAGTCGAGCGGCCACATGTCCTCCGAGTCGTCCGAGTCGCTCAGCTCGTCCAGCAGCGAGTCCTCCTCCTCGTCCTCCTGCTCGGCGTCGCCCAGCTCCTCCGCCAGAGGAGGCTCATCTATCTCCTCCACGTCCATGTTGATCTCAATGCGCATCCTGGGCAACAGGGAGGGTCGGTCAGCGCCCAACTGTGGGGGGGGGGGGGCACCCGACGGTTGTGGGACTACGAGCACCAGACAGGGGGGGGGGGGGTAATTACTCTTGTCATGAACAGCAGCGACCTATGAACGTATGACAGCCCTTTGAAGGGTCATTTTCCGGTTTGCCGACTCGGTCGTGGGTAATGTGACCTCAGTACCATGCGAGGTCGGCTTTCATAGCTGATATTGCGCGCAACGACGTCGCAGCTATTGCGATGGAGTAATTTTAAAAATGACTCAATTTGCAAAGCGGAGTTTCCATTAGGGTTTGCTGATGCCCCGCGGATGACCATCAGTGCCGGTGAGCGCCGACGGAGGCGGGCCGCCGCCGCCGCCGCCGCCGCCGGCCGGCCGGGGTCTCACCTGGCGTCCATGACCAGCAGCGTCACGGTGAGCAGCACGGGCAGCCGCACGCGGCACCGCCACGCCAGGTGCCACAGGAAGAGCAGCGTCGACTTGACGCCCGGCTGCAGCGCCGTGGCCGCGCCCAGCGCGCCGAACAGCGGCATCGCCGCCAGCGGCCGGCCGGCCCCGCCCTGTGTGAGCGAGTGCAGGCGTCCGTCCCGGCGCCGGCTACCGGACCGAGGTCAACAAAGGCAGCCGACTGAGAACGACCGTGGCTCAATCGTCTCGGTAGCGTTAGCGTCTTCCTTTCTTGTGTGCTCTGGTTATTTTGTTTCCTCTAATTTTTCTGTCTAAGACGTTTCCTTGAACGTTTCCTTCTTCATTCCAGGTCTACTTTTAGCTCCACTATATACACAATCCACATTTAAAAAGGAATAAGTTTATATTCTGAGAGTCTCCCTGTAGTGTCTGGTGCCAGCCTGCTGATGGCGAGGGACGAGACAACATCTGGTGACACCACAGCCACACCAGCTGAACTTCAGCAACAGCACACAGCACACTGCACAGCCACTGCTCACTCTGCTGGTAGAGCCGAGGTGCCCTATGTCCTAACCCCAATCGAAAACCTATGGGGAATCATGGAGGGGGAGCTCATCAAGACTGAACCAGCTCCCACAGAAAACGGACTATCCCACCTTTAACATGGGGTTTGAGTTGAGATAGCCAAGTTTGCGGCGAGGTTCAGAAACCACTATCTATCTAGGTTGCAACCCCCGCGGCCTCTTGGTGTTGAAGAAATTCGTTCCCTTCATTTGAAAATGGGCCTTTTGCAAGGCCCTATCTTCAACATGGAGCGACCGTTAGTGTGACGTCACCTCGTTTAGTCATTCTGATTTAAATGGGTTTGTTCGTTGAAAAATCGCTTAACCCTCGCCCGAACATGGGGGGGGGGGTTGCCACCCCCCCCCCAGGTAGTCTTTCTGCTCTGCACTCAACATTTTTAGAGCTAGAAGGCTGATTTTTGGTATAGCTGCTCCTCTATCCTTTCTTGATGTGCACTGAAAATTTCAAGTTTCTGTGGTTTTTGGTTTCGGAGATATGACCTTGTTTTTCAGGTCATGTCATGACCCAAATGGCCAATTCTCAACATCTTGCGTTGGCTATGGGCCTTGTGAGCTTTTGACACCTTGATTTCGGCCTTTTTTGCCAGTCTTACCTCCTACCTATCATGGAACATGTTGTTCGACGATGTACAGGGCCCTGTTCATGAACCCCGGCGGTCGCTGCGGCCGCTGCGGTCGCTGCGGCCAGCCGGGTTGTTACGTCACAAAAAGGGGCGGGGCTCATGTAGTATGACGAATGTATGACGTCACCTTGCTGCGGCCGCTGCGATCTCTGCGGCCGCAATCCAGCGACCGCCGAGCCGCAAGAAAACTAATTGCACTGAACTTGGCGCACTGAAGTCAAATAGGCGCAAGCCGTGTTGTCATGGAGACGATCTTGTAAACAAATTATCTAGCGGTGTGCGTCAGTTGCAAAGAATTGTCGGAAACTATTTCGGCAGCAGACGCTGTTCATGGAACGCTGCTGCGGCCGAGTGAGTGATGACGTTTCAAAAATGGGCGGGGCTTAGAACCTGCGGCCGGCCGCAGCGACCGCCGACTTCATGAACAGGGCCCAGATGTCAAGGTCAGGTTCAAGGTCAACCTAGGTCATCTAAGAAAATTGCGTTTTAGGCAAGCGGAATTTACTTTTTGTGAAGTTTTTTTACTGCATTTTTGGTAAAAGCTTCTCAGATCATGATTTCATGTAATATGGACACATAAACAATCGCCGCACACATCAATATACAGACAGACACACACAGACATACAAACACATATAATTGACCTTGACCTAACTTGACCTGAAATGACCTCAGCAGCAAAAACCTGGTCGGGTAGTGTGACAGAGAGGTTCTAGCTGGCTTGGCACCAGAAAACGGCATCGGCATTGGTATATGATAAGCAGCGCACTTGATATCCAACGGTGACCCAAAACAGCAACATTTTTTAGTTTGACCTGACCTGGAAGGTCAATGACTGACCTGGGAAGGTAAAACTGGGTATCATTGGATTCGTCTCTTCCCAAAGAATCTTTTTGGTCTTTACCGCTAAGCTCTATCTCCAACAGGAACGAAATGGCCGGGGGGGGGGGGGTGGCAACCCCCATGTGCGTTCAAGGGTGGGAAAATGGCATGTGCGGGCGAGGGTTAAAACTTGGTCTGAACTTTGTTGTGGTGCCTACAGAGTTAAAAGAATCAGCTTTATGGCAGTAATGTGGCCTGGGGAAGGAGGTAATTTTGGGCTGTGACGTCACATATTTGAAAGTTTGTGTTTGGAATATGGGAAGCCTAAGATGTTTAATGAAAAATAAATGCCAGAACCGTGTTCCTGGTCATCCAATCTATAAAGTCGGGCACAATTTAACTGGTTTTAACAACACTTTAGAAGGTGGGATAGTCCCTTTAAAGGGACCCTCCCACCTTCAAAAAAGTTAATGAATAATGAATTGGCATGAAAGTGGTGTCGCTCGGTTCAGAAAGAGCGAAAAGGAATATCTACCAAATTTCATCGAAAAATATTCACCGGTTTTCAAGATATTACTTTTACTTTTGTTTACTTTTTGGGATCTCCGCTGTTCCTAGCGACTTTATTTGAAAGTGCGGCATTTGTTGCGCGTAAAGCAGCATATACCACCGCGTGCTACCAAACGTTTTAGTAAAAGATTTAAAAATCGTTAGATCTCCGCTGACGTCACAAATTCTAAGGGGGCATTCCAATGCCCCTTAGAATCCGAAAACTGCAAGTTTGAAATTCCATATCTCCGAATTAAAGGAAATAGTTCACTTTTAACATGGGGTTTTGAGCTGGAATAGCAGTTTCGTAGCTTGAGCTGAGACTAGCACAAATCAGGAGCTTTTACGGCTCAACGATCACCCTAGACGAAGATATTCCATTTCTCGTTCCGAAAAGAGTGCCTTGTAGAGGAATGCGTGCCTTGCACAGGAATGCAGCCACGTCATCGTCAGCCAATCAGCGTGCTGCTTACAGCCAATGCAGTATGCGTAGGTTTGAGCTACGCAATATGATTGGTCAATGCGTAATAAGCTTCCGCGTCAAACATTATTTTACATAGAATATAGTTCGTCCTATATTAAAATATAGAAAATAATTGTTTTTACAAAAAGGTTTTATTTTATTTCATGATTATTTTGAGCATAAAAAATCATAAATCAATAGCAAAATACTGATTTCAGGAAAGTGGACTGTTTCCTTTAAAGCATTTTTCGATGTTGCGAGTGCCCAAACCGGTATTTTCAGGCCATGGCCACCAATTTGGCTATCTCAACTCAAAACTAATGTTAAGGTGGGATGGTCACTTTAAGAGAAACCTGTGAAAGGTGTGGCTGAACATCAGCGCGGATACTCTGGACATCTTGATCTATGGAATGTCAAAGGGGATGAGGCAATGGGTGGGACAGGGCAGGGGATAAATTGGTAAATAAACCATGACCCGGGGACTCTTTCTTTATTAACCCGCGCGGGGCTGGGGTCTCCAGCCGAACGCGCGGGGCTGGGGGGGGGGGGTAAATTTTACCCTCCCCCTGTTATCTTCCGAGCTAATGGTCCGATTTGAAAAATTCAAACGCCGATCGAAAGATCTCATCACGAACAACTAAAAACATGTACTTAATTTAAAGTTTGAGGTCAAGGTCAAGGTCAAACCGAGGTCAGCTGTCAAAAGCGTGGTTTTTGAGGTTGCAGTGCTACGGAGATCAGGCAATGGAAGCTATGAGCTTCATACTTCATGGAAAGCCTTCACTTGAATGCTGCAAGGTGCTTTGAGACCGTTAGGCTGGTGGCATGACCGGGTCAGTTCAAGATGAGGTCACTAAAGGTCACCAATACCATAGTACAAAAATCGCCTATAGTGACGTCACATTTTTGCTTATTTCTCGAAAAGTTTTCAACCGATTTTATTTTTATTTGGCAGAAATGTGTAAAATTGATATAAGAAAAGGTACTGAAAGTTTGGCGGCGCTGTGCGCCGCCGTTTTTGGGATATTGCGGGGAGGGGTAAAATTTCACCCCCCCCCCCCCCCAGCCCCGCACGGGTTAATTATTGCGGCGAGCTGATGGACAACTAGTTTCCGGGACAATGGACAACTAATTTCCGGACACCCTGTATGTTGGGAGGAATTTTACAGGGATGATAAATAAAAAGAGACTGCATGTCTTACATTAGGCATTAGTCTAATCCCGTCAGCCAGGTGTGGAGTCGATGGATTTTCAAGCGACTTCGACTCCGACTCCGGCTATAAAAAATCGACTCCTACTCCGACTCAGACTCCAGACGTTTCTCTTCACCCGCGCCCCGCTGGGGGGGGGGGGGGGCAGAATCGGCCCCCTCCCGTTTTTCGCCAAGAACTTCTAAACGCGTTACGCCAGCGACGTCAGACCTGCAGCACCTTATCATACATCAATTTAACACGTTTCCTGAAAATTTGAGCGAAATCCGTCGGATTTTTTATTTAAGAAAGCGACGTTTATGTGACGTTATGTCAGACATTTTCGCCTCAAAAACGGCAAAATTTCAAACGCCGCTAACATCTTCATTTTTAAAGGAGTCAAGACGTAACAAAATTTTTATACGTGATTCTACTTTGTCTATCAAATGGCTATCTCGTTTTTTTATTTTCGCCCAAATTTGTAAAAAAAACTGACTTTTGGGAAAATAATTATAAATCCAAAATTTTGAGTGTATAAAAAAACGGAATATGTGTCAGAGAAGTGGTCTATGTGCACCTACATACCAATTTTTAGAAGAATCAGTTCAAAAATTTGGGAGTTATTCAAAATTTTATGACGTCACGACACACAAAATTTTTGAAAAATGAATTTTTTGGAAGTTTTAGACCTCGTACGGAAACAAAATAGCACAATTCGATTCGCTGTGAAAAACTGCATCAGATACACTGTAGGTAGGTACACACCTTTTAAGGTCTGAACAACCAACTTCAAAATTTGACCTCATTTGACCTGACCTCGACCTGAAATTCATCCAGATGTGGTCCATATCACTTATTGAGTGTGCCTACTGAACTCTATGAATAAATAAACCCATAAAACATGTGTCGCACATGCCCTTTTCTATATTTTGTTTTTGGTGACTTGACCTGATCTGACCTTGACCTTTGCACGATATTGTATGGAACGAATATTGTCACGTTTTGCTTGTAAGAACACGTTTTGGGCAATCAGTCTCAGTCCATTCTTCGGCAACTTCGGTGCAAGGCCGATACTGTAGAAACTTGTATTTTGTACCCTTGACCTGACTTACTTAAAGGGACCCTCCCACCTTAACATTAGTTTTGAGTTGAGATAGCCAAGTTTGCGGCCAGGCTCAGAAACCACCATTTATCTTGGTCGCAACCCCCGCA